AAGTGCACGCCGATTCACGGCCTCTGATTCATGGTACTTTCCTTGGCGTCGCAGCACTAAAGCTAGGTTGTTGGCACTTGTGAAGGTGTCTGGGTGATCTGGTCCGAGAACCTTGTCACGCCCCTCCAATGCACGGCAATTCATTAGCTCTGATTCATCGTACTTTCCTTGGAGTTCTAACAACGCAGCCAGGATGTTGACACTCGTTAAGGTGTCGGGGTGGTCCTGTCCAAGAACTTTCTCATACCCGTCCAAGGCACGCCGATTCATTGCCTCTGATTCATCATACTTTCCTTGGTATTGCAGCGCCAGAGCTAGGTTAATGGCACTGGTTAGAGTGTCTTGGTGATCAGGTCCACGAACCCTCTCACGCACCTCGAGTGCGTGCCGATTCATGGTCTCTGATTCATCGTACTTTCCGAGATCACTCATCACACTTGCTAGGTAGGATAAGCATTCCAAGGTGTCAGAATGGTTTGGACCCAGTGACGGGCGAAGATCCTCAAGTACATTCCGAAGTATCTCCTCTGCCTCCTTTGCCCTGCCTTGGTGCGCGCTCACCCGCCCTAGCAGCATAAATCTCCTGAAACCTTTATCCTGGCCTTGCTTTTTGTTCTCCTCGCGAAACCTGATACATCGACGGATCTGTGCTTCTGCACTGTTGTAGGAACCCAAATGTAGAAAGTACTCTGCCATGCGAAAACAAAGATCTTCAGCAATAGTATCCGTTCTACCATTGGTTACCGCAAGTGCATGTGGAATATATGCCTGGCAAATATCCCTCAGCTCGTACTGATATTCAGGGAACATTCGGGAAACTAGCCCCAGTGCGGTGGAACTCCATTTATTCAACTCTTCCGGTGACAAATAGGCATGTATCGATAGCCGGATTAAACGATGAAGTTCATAGAAGGTCTTATCTTCATGTTCGGTGGTTGTAACCAATGAGAATCCCACTAGTTTGGAAATCGCACGACGAAATTGAATCCATCCATCCATCCCTTCAACGCCAGACTCGCGCAGGAGCTGCTCGGGTATATTTTGACGATCAAAGAAGGCGATTAGCCGCAGGAGATACCCGGCTGTCGGCATCTGTTTCGTAATTCGATCAAAGGTGATGAAGTATGTGCCCAAAATACTTTCTGTCATGTCAGACTCTCGCCGGATATCGCTAAATTCCTCTAAAAGTAGCTCCTTCATCCGCTTATCGTTCTCCTGAAAAGTTTTCAAGTACTCGGAGGGTCGTGTTTCGGTCTCAACCATGAATGCTGCTGAGCCTACAATAGCTAGCGGCAAGCAATCCACCGACCCTAGGATCATCGCAACTACCTCTCCTTCCCTGTCTCTCAATCCGCCCCATCTGCCAAAGTGTTTCGAAAATAATGCCTGAGCTTCCTCCACCTCCATTTTCCCGACATCAATCCTTTCGCACTCTTGGCGGGATGCAACTTGGCGAGATCTGGTGGTGAATATCAGAGTACCTCTAGGTCCTTGTGGTACGAACTTGGAGATCGGACTGTTGTTGCCAGAAAAGTCCTCCTCGTTATCGGCGTTGTCGACAACCAGAATCTAATCACCACTCTCTGGTCCCTCAAACCACCTCTTTACACTCAACAGAAATCCCTCTTCTTCCATCTCGGCGCTCGCTAGAGGAATTGGGACGTGTTGGGCAATAGCCCTGATGCCCTCCCTAAACTGTGACACCCCACTTCCTTGCACCCAGAAAATATCGCTGTCGCTATCACTTGCGCGCCGATACACGTATTCGAGAGCAATCTGCGTTTTACTGAGCAATGTTAGTAAACCCTCCAGATACCAAATTCATAGATACTTACCCAGAGCCGCCTAATCCATGAAGAGCGATCCGGTTGTGGCCATCAGGCTTGCAAAGCCTCTTTACCGAGTCAATATGGTGTTCACGGCCAGTGAATTTGTTGTTCCTGCTGTAGGGAATTATCCGATATGGCCTAACTGCTCCTTCCGGTTGCAGCAGCACATTAGCTCCCAACCGGAAAACTCTCGGGAATGTGATCATACCTCGGTCCCCAGATCTAAATGTACATCCTTGATACATTGTTCCGATATTGCCCGAATAGCTCAGGCAACCCATGTTTACCTTATTATGGTTGTTACTACCAGAGACGTTATGATCCCCTGAATTCCCGCTGAATTCCCCCCTGATATCGGCTTGAATTTTCCTTTACATATCCTCAGATGAGTGCCTCTTTTCCCTTTGGTTACACAGACATTAGGGCGAGGGTGAACTCACTGATCCATCGTGTTTTCGGCTCACCCTAGGGCTACTTTCGAAGGTCGAGTATGAGAGTAACGAGATGTCACTAGCGTAACTGGAATAGGAAGTGTAGTCTAATTGCCGCCTATCGATGTGGTTCCGGATCGCCTAGCGAGGCCCTGAAACAAGTCAATAACCGATATTTACCAAGTAGAACGAGCAGTCATGGACGCGACCTAGAATATGGAGGTTCTTGATTCTGCAATTTTGAGGCAGTGATAAGAACTAATCCCAGGAAGGGCGATACGGCTTCAGTGGAGTGGAGGCTGAGCGGCTGGGACGAGTGTGTTGTATGAGCGTCACAGAAGAACGACAGCGTCTCAGGGCAGTGGAGAAGGTTGAAATTTACTCTTCGGAAGTCAGAGTTCTTCCCCACCTGTGGTGAGGAGAGACGGGAGAAAAGCAAACAAGGCGGTGTTCCACACCTCACCTGGATGCCCCAACTTTGGGAAATGTAACCGGTTTAACCTGGGTCACAATTTGGGTAGTGACCCGTGATTGGTGGATGCACTACAAGTACCAAGGCATGCACGACATGGGAATGACAACTGCCACTCTCGAAGGGCGAAAACTTTCCTCCACCTCCAGCTGCTAGGCATTTTGGAGCGCTCCGCCAGCCAATTTCTTTATAGAATAGCGGTATAACTTTGAACCTCTTGGATGATGCCGATATGCGAACACCGGTAGCCTTGTTTCGCCGCTCCGGACCGAGGCCCTGGCCTGCCACCTCTTCCTTTCTCGATAAAAGGGCCCCCTCTCTGCAATGCGAACCACTCGTGCGATCCTGCCTGAAACTTGACCAAGCCACCGAATTCGGAATCAGCGCATAAAGCTGCAAAAGGCGATATGCCGGTATTACTTGCACAAGTACTCCATCACCGCACCTATAATCATACCACAACATCTGTGAAAATTTTCGGACTTTCATCAACGTGTATACGTACCGTGGGCATTTCTAGAGGGAATCCCGAATGCAAATGGCACAAGCAGTTCTGAATGCCACCTAAGGCTGATGCTAAAAATGGTAAGCGAGGTGCATGCACTCATACCGTGAACCCGACTGCCGCTCACCGACCCCCACACAATGCACCACAAGACAGTGAATTTAGCAAGGAAAGGCAATGCAACGTTTTGTTTAACCCGAAGTCTTCCCACCATGCAGGGACCCACAAGCGCCTAGAGTTTCTGGAAAAAATCTGTTATATGGCCGCAGAAAGCACATCTATGTGGGATATAATTTTTCATGGAATCGCCCCCCCCCCCCGTCCTCCAGCTTCGGTGGTACATTTACTAGAATATCTGCACCTTGAATTAGGGAGGTTGCAGTTACCTCTATCGCAATGTAGTACGGTTTGCCTTTTGTCTCATTTAAGGTGAGGGTGAGGTGCAGAAAACGTCGCTTGGGGCTTGGGACTTGTTTTGTGCGCAACTTATTGAATTTCCGCGCCTTTCGAATCCAAACCCAGGGGGGCATGATGGCACGGATTCTAGAAAACTTAGCGGTTTTTTGGCGCGAATTGTTCGTCAACTCAAAACAGCCACTGGATCGATAGGAAGAGTTATAGACAGAATCGAGTTAATCGTTGTTAACGGTGTTCAAATGTGTACGGTACGGCACTATCTTAATAACTTTGTACGAAAATACGACGTAGTAGAGAGAGTATACCACAGGCATGTTAAGCGAGGAGGAGTTTGGTATGAAGGTAGATTGGTAGTAGTTCTTGTCCTTAATCTCTTTAAGTGAGATGGATGGTAGCGCCTATTGATACAGGTGTGCATCCTTCGAGTAACCAAGAGAAAATATAAGGGAAAACATAAGTATCGACATGTTTGACCATAACATAAGTGGGAAAAACATAAGTGCGAATGTGTCTGACCCTGAGGAACTGCCAAGGAAATTCTATAAAACATGTGTAAATCTAAGATGGTGTGAGCGGATAAAATGAGCCTGTATAAGTTAAAACCTGATTATCGGACTTCAACTACAAAACATTTATTTTTGCTTAACTACTTTCCTAGTTATGTAAAGTAGGTATATAGTAGCTCAGAAAATATTCTAGAACTTCAGATGACCTCTGTAGCATGTTTTGTGTCCAAAAAACTGAAAGTTTTGTAGATATACAACACATTTTTAATGAACGGGATAGTAAAATACGGCACCGCAATGTGGGAGAAAGATATGGGAGGATAGTGAGTAACTCGCACGTTGTCTTCTTCTTACTCAACTAACTGGGGTAACAAAAGCATATAAGAAAAACATAGCACCATTCTAAACCTTCCATCTATCACCACCGAAGTCCTTCCTTCTGCCAACCCTCCATCTGGTAACAAAGGAAAGAACATCCCACATAATTCCTTGACAAATGAAATCCTCCTCTGTAGCATTCGCTTTCCTCTCTCTTTAACTACAAAGCCG